TCATAACTGTAATGTTGCTACTATTATGAATCGTAATGTAAGTATCTGATATGCCGGATGGTCTTAGGCGACCCCTGTGAAAGGGTCGTTCGACTGCCAAAGGGGTCGCGACCCACAGGTTGAGAAACGCTGCTATAGACGACGAAATTGAGACTCAGACACAATTTGTAGCTGATCCATGGACATCCTGCTAGTAAATGGCAGAGTGAGGATTCAAATCCAGGTCTGCTGAGTGCAAAAACCACACTCTTAACCAATTCACCAAAGTGTTCATTTAAAGATAAGGACATGTTTAGAGGAGAGTATTTCCTTTTCAAGTTTATCTCTGCATATACGTTTCTGTAATACCTTGTTGGCGCCCCTTTTCCCATACTATGCTCTTACCGCCAGCTTCTGGATGCTTTCCAGGCAATAGTTCCCACGATGATGACCCACCAATTCAATTCACTGGATTGTCCTTGAGCACTGGCATAGCCTTACCAGTACCCCTATAGCTCGTAGCTGTTAACTGATATAGGAATCCAGACGCCCAGTGCCTTTGCCTGTGCTCTGCAGCTCCCCACGGAGTCTTCATAGGAAAGCTTGCCCTTGTTTGGTTTCTTTCACTTCCCTGTCTTGCTTCAACCCTTTATTCCTCACTGTTCTCCCTGGGAGCATTTCCTCAACAAATCCCTTGCTCTTGAATTCTTGGCCCCATCTCTCCTTCTGAGAGACTCTTAACTAAGTCAAGATATATAAAGGGGGGGTGGGGAAAGAGGCAAATACTAATAAAATCACTTTAGTATTTTAGACTTTTGGGTCAGGTTGTATTTTTTTTAATTGTTGTTTATTACAAAGTAATACAAGTTCACTGTAAAAAAGAAAATATGGATAAACCAAACAAGACAATAAAACTCAATTCATAATTCTAAGGCCCCCCCAAAAATTACTATTTATGTGTGTGGCATATTTACAAATCTGAGATTACTATATATATACTATTTATAATGACTTTTAAAATGAAACTTTGACAGATTGGCTTTTTTATTTTTAAAAATGTATTGGGTGAAACTAATAAAATTGTATAGGTTTTAGATAACAAGTCTATGATATATTATCTGTATATTGTATGTTCCCCATCCCAAGTCAAGTCTCCTTTCATCACCATTTATCTTTTTATGGCAGAAAAATTTCCTCTACAAAATCTCTTTATGCTTATGTAGAATTCTGGAGTATAATTTTTTAAAAATATATTTTATTGATTTTTTACAGAGAGGAAGGGAGAGAGATAGAGAGTTAGAAACACCGATGAGAGAGAAATATCGATCAGCTGCCTCCTGCACACCCCCTACTGGGGATGTGCCCGCAACCAAGGTACATGCCCTTGACCAGAATCGAACCTGGGACCTATCAGTCCGCAGGCTGACGCTCTATTCACTGAGCCAAACCAGCTAGGGCTGGAGTATAATTTTTTGAGGAGGTGGGACCAAGCACCCAGGTAATGTTGATGCTGCTGGTTTACGGACCACTTTTGAATATCACTGATGGCCTTATAGGGCCACCAAAAAACTTTGACTTTGCTCTTGTTAGGTTTAGTATTAAATTCAGAGAAAAGAGAATTAATACGACTTGACATCATCACTTTCTCTCAGTTTATGTTTGCAAATAGCTGAAGGTGACCAAAGAACCCTGCTACCTAGAAAACTGGCATTTAGAAAGTACTCACTAGGGTGATAACAGAAAGTTCTAGCCTCTGAAAATATACTGTTGCAGATTCATTTTTTTTTTTGGTGTGTTACTAAATGAAACCATGGGCAGGCATTCTCCCTCAATTTCAGGAGTCCCCTAATTAATTTAGTCAACAAAATATCATATTCTCAGGAACTAGCTTGAAGGGGCTCCCCCTGGCCAAATTTGGGACAATTTGAGGATCAAAAATAAATAATGAGAGCAAAGGATTATAACCCATTAAATAAAAATGGCATGCACGAGTCTATGCTGATTTAAACACATAAATAGGGAAGAAGAGGAAGTTCTGCCCAATGGTAGAAATTCAACCGAGAAATGCAGAATGATCAAATTAGAAAATCATGTCATAGCAACCATCACTAGAACACTTATTTCAGGCAGGAATTATCCATAAATGCTAAAATTAGGTGGTGAGAGTTGTAGGACTAACGAAATTTATGTAATTTCAAAGAATCTATCCATGTAAGTACAAAGGGAAAAAGAATAACTTTACAGTGGAGAAATCAGGTAGATACCACTTCAACCAAGGGATTAAGGTTTACAAAGTTTACATCGCATATCAGCATCAGATGAACTGAGAAGCCCTGTGGTGTTCCTACCTAAAATGCATCTCCTGAATCTATTCTTGAGCAAATATGAGACAATCAAAATTGAGGGACATTTTACAAAATAATTGGCCTGAATTCTTTTAATATTCCAATGTCATTAAAAACAAAGAAAGATGGACAGACTGTTTCAAGCTACATAAGAGGTCAAAGAGATGTGACAACTGAATGCAGCCCATGATCTGGGATTTTCTTCTGCTCCATAGAATATTATTGGGACATATAGCAAAATCTGAATAAGATCTGTGGATTAAATATGTAATTAATTCAAATATTGGTTTCCTAATTGACAATTGTAATATAGTTATGTGAAAGAATGTTCTTGTTTTATGGAAAAACATGCTGAAAGTTTACAGGTCTTCAACTGACAAATAGTTCAGAAAAAAAAGTTACACATACACATATGTATATGCAGAGACATAAAGAGAGAAAGTGGATGGTTAATATTTTGGTAATCTGGGTAAAGAATATGCAGGGTTTCTCTGTAAAAATCTTGCAATTTTTCTGTAAATCTGACATTAAGTTAAAATGAAAAAATATACAGACCAAAAAAACCTCATAAAACAAACAAAATTGTGTTCTAATAGCTAATTTCCAGGCTCCATATTATAAAATATATAAGCAACCCCAGTTCGCCTGCCTCAGGAGAAGATGGGCATGATTAGCTTCTTTACTCACTCACCCAGCCTTCTCCTGGACTCACTAGCTGCCTTAAAGGCCTCCATGGGTGACAAATGAGGGAGGGGTTTAAAGGAAAGGGGTTTCATGTATACGGCTGACAGAGTTGTACCCTGGAGTTGTGCCCTCTGGTAAGACAGAGTCTAAAGTGGACTCTTGCTGTCAGTGGGCTTTTTGTGGATATTTTTGGAGGCCTTCCCCAGCACTCGTTGTACCTCTTGGTGTGGGTGAGCTAGCTTTTTACTCAGTAGTACACCTCTAGCTGTGGCCAGTTTTATGTCTCAGTTGGGCTGGGCCAGGGGTGGGCAAACTTTTTGACTCGAGGGCCACAATGGGTTCTTAAACTGGACCGGAGGGCCGGAACAAAAGCATGGATGGAGTGTTTGTGTGAACTAATATAAATTCAAAGTAAACATCATTACATAAAAGGGTACGGTCTTTTTTTTTTTTTAGTTTTATTCATTTCAAATGGGCCGGATCCGGCCCGTGGGCCGTAGTTTGCCTGTGGCTGGCCTGGGCCATAGAACCCAGATATTAGCTGTAGGTGTTGCTGTGAAGGAATTATGTACATGCAACTACAATTAGTTAACTTTATGTAAAGGAGATTATCCTTAATAATCGGAGGGTAGAGGGGATCAGTTAAAAGGCCTTAAGAACAGAACTGAGGTTTCCCTGAGGAAGAAGAAATCCCACTTGTAAACTGCAGGGACATCTCTTGTCCAACAGTTTTTACCCTGTCCTTCCTGATGGCTTGTCCTACCAGCCCCCATAATCATGTAAGTTAACTCCTTGCAAAAAAATCTCTTTTTATCTATCTATCTATCTATCTATCTATCTATCTATCTATCTATCTATCATCTATCTATCCATCCATTCTACTGGTTCTATGTCTCTGGTGGAACCCTGACATAACTCATTTCCAAGTATGATCAGGCCCCAGGCCCAAAAGACACTTTTAAGGTTTTATGGTGGGTCTCTTAAATTCACCCTTCTCTCTTGCCCCACACATACTTGCCTTAAGGAAAATTCACATATAATATCTAGTCATTCTCTATCATATATATTTTTATGACATCTGGAAATTTTGTCTAAAGTATGAGTATGAAGTATGAAGTAGTGTATGCATACAACTTGCACTACTGCTCAAATGCTTAAGACCTTGGGGACAAATCCTCTAAGTTGGGGAAATGCTTATTTTGTCGCAGGCGAAAGGTAAGAGAATTCGCTTTTAAGATATTTGCTAGGGGCCTCAGAATCGGAATACCATAGGTGTTGTCTTAGTTTGGGTCCTTACAGAAAGAACCTTGAAATAAGAATTGAGGTGTGAGTATTTGGGAGGTGATCTCAATAAAGACCAGAGGGGTGAAAGGAAAGTGAGAAGACAGGGAAGAGAAGGGCGCCAAGGAAGGGTGTGCTGTCACACAAATATCCACTGTGGGCATCTTGATCTTAGTCCTTCTGGGAGCTCTAGAAATCAGTGAGAACATGCACTTTAGAAGGCTCCCACCAGAACGGTAACAAACACTGAATCTGTTCAGTCACTACTTGGGGGCAGCTTCCAGAAGACTCTCATGCCCACATACTTTGGCCTCTACTGTACACGTTTAAGTGTCAGAGGCAGCCTTCCAGCATCTGCAGTCAGGCCTGAGAATGCTACAACCCCACCGCAGAGGAGAATGGGTGAAGCGCTGACAGTGTCTGCCACAGGTCTCAAAGTTTAGTTACCTCACACACATCACTTACGATGATGCGTGAGAAGCAAACACTTCCCTTAATGGGCTAAAAACTCCCCTTCCCCAATATTAAACTGTTTTCATCCATTCCCAGAATTATATCTTTAGCAAACATAATGGTGGACATTTGGTAAATTTTTTGACAATAATGTTATGTTTATAACTAAAATGCCATTTATTCCACTACAATCTTAAAGAAGATTAGGGGATTTGTCCAGAATGACATGTGATTCATTGCAAAATAAAACACACCTTCTCTAGACAGCTCAGAATATTTATAGTTGTTAAAGCAAAAACAAATGTTTGGTTACAAATACTTAATTTGTGGATTGTTTTGATGGAAATATCTACCTTCTCCAAAGTTTGGTCCCTGGGCCTTGAAATGTTTAACCCAAGACGAAACCTCTGTGATTTAGTTCTTGAAAACAGCTTCCAATGCGCGAGCTTTCTCTGTAATGTTCTTCTGAAAGGGCATCATGAAGTCTTCAAAGTCCACCTCATAAGTGAACCTCTCCCTCTGCAGCTCCCTCTTCCTGATCAGCTCTGCTGTTGTGGCTTCAGGACTCCATGTCTTAAGTGAAAAATCACCGCCAGAGCAGGTATAAGTATGACAGCCGCACGCATGCTATATCAAGATACTTTTTAATATGGTTAATTCAAAACTACTGAATTTACTTCTAAATCTATTTGAACGTGTCTTTTCCTCTTATATGGCATCAGTGGTTAGATGGGCATCACTATTTTTGGTGCTATTTGGACAACTGAAATGCTCTTTAGTTACCTCTCTGATGACCTTTGGGCCAGCTGCTATTCATTTTTAGGATGTCAAAACCAGTAATCAATGGAATTAGAAGATCATTTGGGATTACTACCATTATGTCTTATGGAGAAATCAGAATTATTTTCATAGTAGAAGGCAGAGGGAGCTGGTGGTCTCTTTTTCGGCATGGTTTGATGGGCATTTGCAAGACCACTCTTATTCTCCAAAAATGTCTTTACCTGTTTAATTGTAGATGTTTTAGGAAGCTACTGAATAAATCTACTACTAATAATTAAGGAATTGGTGGTGTTGAGTACAAAGAAGGGTTAGGTCTAAGGTACCAAGAAAAAGTATCTATAGCACTTGTTGACTAAATGGTGAATGATATTGACCAAAGAAGACTTTAATCTTTCAAGAAAAATTAAAATGTCAATATAGAAATTGTAATCGAGAAAACAAGATACTGGGAGCTAAACAAGTTGGACTTATTGAGTCAGCAAAAGGACACCTTTAAATAGTAACTATGAAAAATAACCTTTGGATATTTTTTTTGTGTTCTGCATAAAAAGTCTTTGAAAAATGACATCATTAGTTTATACCACATTATGAAAAATCTTTCCAAAGTACTTACCCTCCGTGGAGTAAATGTGATATTCACTTTCTTGGTGTAACCACTGGTAATCAATGAATTGAGATGAACCACATTATCCTTACGTATTTTCTTTTCCTCCAATATGATTGGTACAGTATAAATTGATGAAAGTGGTCCCTGGAAACAAGACAAAATAAAACTATTAATTCCATAAACCTATATACATTCTAATATTATTTGTTGTTCTATATCTCACTCTGAAGCTAGAAAAATAATAACTACTACATAAATTATAACTTGAAATGAAATAGAATATTATTTTAACTTTGGGTAGAGAGAAATGATTTGTTTTAAGTCTAGTAAATTAGTAGTATCAGTAGCAGATCTCATAAGTCTTCAAGATATCCATCTTTGACCTGTGGCCATTCATTAGTCAGAAAGAGGCATTCTGACTGAAATGATAATGGTGCACATAGTAGGAGCTTTAGCTGATTGATCCTCTTTCACCTCTGGTAATCCTTGTTCTTGTCATCTATGTTTGTTATTCTCTACTGTCTGCCTATGATCCCTCCACTTCACCCACTTCTACCACCTACATTTGGTAACAATAAAGCATTTTCTTCTTAAATGCCATTCCTCTTTCCATTTGATAACAATAAAGCTTGTCCTTCTTAAATTTAATTCTTTGTCATGTGTTTGCAAGAATCTCCAGGGATCCTTCTGCTTCCCTAAAAGTTTCTAGCCTAGAAATGCACGTAAAGCTTCCCTGCTCATGACAAAGCCTGATGTCTCAGAAATCCCCACTCAGGCAACAACCTCAACTTTCTCCTGGTAGTTCAGAGGCAACGATACCACTCCAGATAAGCAGGATCAGTCAGTGCGGTATTTTAAACCTTCTAGAGTTATATTGTGTGATATCCAAGTTACAAGTGGCCTCATATTCCAGGGCTCAGCAGTAATCACTAAAATTCCTTGGGTGGGGGTGGTTTAAAATGAGTAATGAAGAGTATAAGACCAAAATGAAGGAAAATTATGCTTTACTTCATTCCTCATAAGGGTTATTCTTCTTCCTTTTTGGGCTATCTCATAAAATCTGTATAATTCAGGACTAAAATCTATATATATAAAAGCCTAATATACAAACTATCCTCTCATGAGTTCGACCGACCAGGAGTTCAATTGCTCACTATGAAGTGTGCTGACCACCAGGGGGCAGTGTGGAATGAAGGGAGGCCCCAGCCGGCAGTCAGGGAAAGGAGGCCCTGGCCGGCAGCCAGCAGCCACTAGGGACCCTACCCATGCACGAATTTCGTATATTGGGCTTCTAGT